GTCGTCGGGGAATAAACTCTGCTCGAGTGATTCGGATGGTATGTGGTCGTCGCATGTGGGTGGCGGGCAGAAGTACTGATTGCGAAACAGTGGACATCTGTATAACGACAACGTATAAAGAGCTGGAGCACGTCTGCCTGCTGGCGGAAGTGCTTGCGCGACGTAAGGGACCCCCAACTTTTTCCAATCCCGACCAATCACTGACATCTCGGGGGGTTCCCCCTCCCTCATCGCAGATGGCATGGAGCGTGTGGTTTGTGTTTCACATGCGAAAGTACCCATCGTGAAAATTTGGGATCCGGAGCTGCGCTTGGCGTGTGACATGAACGTGAACAACACTATGGCCCTGGAAAATACGCGCATGATTCGTACGTATATGGAAATTGACGAGCGCATACGACCCTTGGCGATGATTATAAAACATTGGACGAAACGAAGGATCCTCAACGATGCTGGTAGGTTCATGACCCTACGCAGACGATGTGAACTCGCCCTTTTTCTCTTGGATGTTGACCACTGGCAATAGGACTCGGAGGCACGCTCAGCTCCTACACCTGGATATGCTTGATCATCAACTTCCTCCAAACGCGAGACCCCCCGGTTCTGCCCAGTCTCCAGGCTCGCCCTCACGAGAAGAAGATATCGGCGGAAGGCTTCGTGTGTTCGTTCGACGACAATCTCCGGAATCTGACTGGGTACGGTCGAAAGAACAAGCAGTCTTTGGGAGATCTGCTGTTCCAATTCTTTCGATTCTATGGTCACGAGCTCGATTATGAGAAATACGTCATTTCCGTTCGAGCGGCAAAATTGATTTCCAAGGAAGCCAAGGGTTGGCACCTGCTACAGAACAATCGTCTCTGCGTCGAGGAGCCGTTTAACACCTCTAGGAACCTGGGAAACACTGCCGATGATACGTCCTTCCGGGGCGTCCATATGGAAATTCGTCGCGCCTTCAAGGCCGTATCCGAAGGAAACCTGGAGCTTGCCTGCGAGCAGTATGAATATCCACCCGAGGAAGAGCGTTCATGGGAGAGGCCCCAGCCGCAACCGCGACCCATCATCGCGCCTCCGCCTCCGTCCTCTCGGGGCGGCCGTGGAGGTGGCCGTGGCGGACGGCACTCGAATCAGTACAATCGCGGGGGCCATACCGGTGGTCGACGTTCGTCGAATACTCCGAACAAGTCGAATAATTTTCGTCAGCCCAATAACGGCATGAGTGCGTCCGAACTCTCCCTTCAGGCCCAGCAGGCACAATACCTATTACATGACCACCTCTACCAACAAATCCAGATCCTCCAGGCCCAAGAGCAAGAACTGCGGTTGCAGCTGCAAAACCAGGCCCTTCTTACTGGAAGGCCTCCTCCCGTGCTGATTCGCCAGCCCTTCATGCAATTCCCGATGCCCCAGCAACAAGAATCTACGGGTGACGATACCTCTCGGACGAGATCTGGAACAACGAACCAAAGTGCCCACACCACGCCCGTGCGCCAGCAGATGTACTACGGCTCTCAGTACCTTCCGGTGGCCGTTACCGGCGTCCCAGGAAGTACAACAAATCCTCCTTCCCCTTCGGCTGCCGCTGCCATGCCGGATATTCGTCGTGCCCCCCGTCGGTCGTCCGTTGCGAATGGCTCCCCAGGCGGGTCATTGCGGGCTCACTCACAGCCAGCACGGTCCGTCAACTCGCTTCCCACATACGCCCCAATCTATTCCATTGCGCAACACATAGAGGGTTCCCAGCATTCCAAGCCCCGTAACGTCCCTGGCTCCCCGGGCGACACACAAAGCGAGGAGGACAACCCTTTCGTGCCAAGCAGTCTGCCCAATGGATCCCGTGCCGGATACTTTGACGAGAATCGACCGGCCGAGTATATGGGATACTATTTGGCCACTTCTCCGCAATTGCAAGCGTACCATCAGAACGCCATGCTGTCACCCTTGTCAGCACCAGTCGGATTGGCGTTGCAGAATGGTGGTGTCGTGCCGTTCGTCACGAATCCTCAGGAATATCTGTCGTCTGTGGCCCAACATGAGGGGACCGGACTATCACCAGAGATTGGCACGACGCAAAGTTCTCAGTTGAGTTCAACGCAACAACGTGCTACTTCGCGGCATGCCGCGTCTGCTGATCGCAGCGGTCCCTTGATTGTGGATGGGTCGGTGCCGCCGAGCGAGCATCGCGCTTCCCTCTCGGTCGAGGGCTACGATCCTTATGCCACCATGAGCCATTGTACGTCAAATTCCGATGACCACAACACGGATACGCCTGCCAGCGTCTCCGATTCGTTCTCTCAAGATCTTCAAGACAACAGCTCGGTGGATATCGACCAGCCGCCGTTCTATGGAGGCCGATCAGGAATCGACATCCATAAGCCCGGCCACTCGGACGTCTTTGTGAATGGCCATGGCGGCAAGCCAAGCCTGCTTTCAAGTCGGTTGCAGAATCTGCACCTCTCCAACAGCGAGAATACCTCCGAGCCCCCCGCATCATCAAAGAGCGTCCCAGAGAAGCCCAGACCTGCCCATTCCCACCACGAATCATCGGGCAAAGACAACTCGCATCAGAGACCTCTTGCCGCGGGAAACAAAGGCACGTCCGGTCCAGGAGCATCGTCGGTGACTGAGTCACATCCTCCCTCATCGTCCGGGAAACGCCGGCCTACTGGCGTCGATACCTCTGAGAAGTCGAATGGTCATAGCCACGGTCACGGTCACGGTCACGGCCACGGCCACAAACCACGGCACAAGGGTCGCTCGGATGCTGCCCACACCTCTGCCGGACCAGGCGACAACAAAGAACGGAATAACCACCAATCGCGAAAATCAAACGGCACAGCTTCGACAACACAAGACTCCCATGCCACGCATACTGGTGGCGGCTGGCAGACGACCAAGAAGAAACATCGCAAGAATGCTAAGTCTTCCATGGATCACCGACAAGGTGCCCATGCCGGCGCGGAGCCGCTTCCTGCGGACGAGTCCCTGAGAAAGGGCGGCTGAAAGCTCTCCATCGCATCCCACGTCTTTCTTCTTCCATGTCCCATTGATGGCCATGATATTCCAACGAATACTGAACGACCGGTGCACGCCGTACCGTATTACACGATGCTTCCGGGTTTCCGATATTTTGCGCAACTTTTTTCTCTCCATTTTTCCCTCCTAGCATCATCGCTGGGATTCACCAAGCCCCCATGCTGAGGCTTGTATGACATTGTACAGTTTATAACACAGGCTTTTGAGATATTCTATTTTGTTCCTCTCAGGTTCAAACCAAGTTACTACACGGCGTTCTGGGCTACTTGGTTTTGTATAAACGAGGCGGCATCCTCTTGAGATTTAAAATGACATGAGTCCGACAAAGGTCCTTCTTATTGTTTTTCTTTTGCTTGTTCTTGAATGGAAGGTATATGATTTCTCTTTTCTCCCTCCCTTATTCAACCTCTTTTCCCATCTATGTCCTTGTCTATTTTACATGTTCAACATTGGCGTTTACAGGATCTCATAACAGACCTTGGCAATCGAAGGTTCTGGCAGGTTGGGAAGGGACTTTACCGGTTACTTGTGAGAATGGCATTTGTGTCTCAGGCTCTTATATTTTCTTCCTTTGATTTGTCGAGTCTCGACTTTGGTTGTCTTTTCGTCGATTACAGACTCCCTGCTCGCCTTTGAAAATTGTCACCATACGTTGTCACTGTTTTTTTTTTTTTTTTTTTTTTTGCTTTTTTCTTGCATACGGGATTGTCTTCTTACTCGCCTTGCTTGTCGCCCTCTCCTACCTCGTGCTCTACTGGCTTTCCCTACATGACCAGGGTGGCCAAGAAAAAGCTTCCGCATCGGGTGCAGTAGCCAGGTCTATCGAAAAGAAAAAAAAAAAGAAGAGACGAAAACACTCTTACTGGGTGACAGTGTGGACTCTCGACCTCAACCCGAGCATTCTCCGTTTTTCAGCCCCTTTGTTTACATCGTGCAGGCTATGGATTTCTTTCAACGTTTATATCCCATCGGTATCACCAACCAACATACTCATACTCATACTCATACTCATCATCATTATCATTGTCAATATACCATCATAGCAGGGAGCCAGGCGAGTGGGTTCATTGTGCATTGTGTTTTTTATTATTTTTTTCTGTTTTCTTCATTTTTTTTTTTTTTATTTTTTTTTTTTTTTTCTCTGTTAAATATCATGTCTGTCAATCGGGTCGGGATTGACTGGTTCTGCGGATGTAGAATTGGGATTTACATAGGGGCGTGTTTACAAAGAATAAAGATAAAAACCGAAATGAAAAATATTGACTTGAGATTTTCTTTCGCTTTTGTTTGTCATTTCTCTGTACGGAGTAGTCATGGCTCTTTAATAAGTATCTGGCTCCGGTTATTATATATCTAGTATTGTCGGACACAAGAATAGTTATAGTTATGTGAGAGAAATCAATAAACAAAGAATTTGCCAGATATGTTGAATGAAAACTTTCTTCTTTTGCCGCTGGGGTTGAAATATATTTCTATCGTCTAGAGGCATTCTGAACAGGGTATAACGAATAACGAGTCGGGAATTCCGCGCAATTTTCAAGTTGACTTTTTGGAGACCATCTTCTCTTTGAGAGCGAACATGCTTAACGTAGTGGAGTATACAGAGGGAGAACAGGCCGAGGGAAAAGAAAAGTAACAAATAATATTACAATATGAGAAGATTAAAATGAATAAACGGGATAGGGGGTGGTGCCCCCAAAAATGTAGTAGACAAGAAGGGTAGGTAAGGTAAGACATCTCTCCTCCAAAGAGGTTCGTAAGCAATGGGAAAGTTTAGGTTTAGCAAAACGCTTCGATCAACATGTATGGGAATATAACAACGCAGGCAGTCCAGAACACCATGATACATTGCCATAGCACCATGGGAAGTTTATACAGGGGCGCTTCCTGGATGAGCATCCAGAGAGAAAGGAACGCGACGGTGAAAAAGTGATTGAAGAGGACGACGGGCTTCTTGATGATCCCGCCTAGAAGACTGACGGGGCCTTCAATCCTTCCCATTTGGAAGTAACGGAAACAGCCCCGTTGTAGAGCTCGGAGGTGTTCATCTGTGGCGAGAGGGGGGACTTGTCAGCAAATGGGGAGTTCAGGGAAATTGGAGCGGATGGAAACCACTCACCGTCGGCGGCGAAAAGAGAGTAGAGAGCCTGGGCCAGGATGTTGATGACCGAGGAGCCCTTCTTCCTTTGCCAGTGGAAAGACGACAGCTGACGTAGGACTCGGTCGGTGTCCTCGAAACTGGGGACATTTTCGGGACTCAATAGTTCGCGCAAAATTACCACGTCGCTGAAAGCGACTGTCATGCCTCCGCCGGTTAACGGATGACGCATGTTCAACGCATCCCCTAGTATGACCAGCCCCGGAGTCTGGTTCTGCGCAGCTGGGAGGTAGGAATTCGGCATGGACCTCAGCTGGCCCTTTTCCAGGGCTGCGAGGAAAGCGGGCTGGACAGATTCAGGGAGGGAAGGAAGAGTCACCTTGTGAAGGTGATTTTTGACGCCACCGCTCTTCACCGAGGCGGAGGGGAGGTTCTCCGGGATATCGACGAGAATCCGAGTCTCGTGCGTTCCGATCTGGTAGAGGAGGATCGGTGGTGTATCACTCAATAAGACATGTCCATAGTGGCGAACAGGCAGTTTGGTGTCTATCAGCTCCAGGCCCCAGAACCTGGACCGTACCTTGGGGGCGCGGTGGTGATACTGTTTCCGAAACTTGGAGGCATAGCCGTCGGCGACTACCGTGAGATGACCAAAGTAACAATCCTGGGTCTCCTTGGTCACGCACTCCACACCAAGAACCTGCTTAGTGTGCGGGTCAGTGACCAGGTCGGTGGCCTTAGTCTCCACGACCGTAACGTTGGGGCAAGCCAGAACCGCCTCCCGCAGCTTCATCACGAACCGTCCGTGGTGAAAGGAGCGACCCTCCGGTGCCGGCGAGGACGGCGAGGGTTTGGGGTAGGGGATGACCACAGGCTCTCCGAGGTAGGAAACGTAGTAACCCTCCGCCGGAATGGCATCAATGCCCTCCAGACAGTCCCGAAGACCGAGCTGTTCGAGGGCCTGGACACCGCCCGGTTGTAACAGTTCACCCACGATGCGATCGGGTTCTTTCATGGACGCTTCCAGTAGGATGACACTCCGTCCTTGTCTTCCTAGTGTGACAGCGAGGGCACACCCCAGGATTCCTGCGCCAACGATCACGACGTCGCCATGGTGGTGAAGCCGTCTGCGCTCTTCGGCCGCAATGGAGGAGGCTGTGGCATGACCGTTGGGGACGGCGGCGGTGGCCATTGTGCCGGGAGGAGAGAAACGAGGGAGGTCAACGGCGGTCGGTAGATGGTCGAGGGCGACAGAGCATATTCCTCTCCCGAATTGATTGCGGAGAATGCGGGAAAGAAGAGGAAGGTGGGATGACCGGGGCGAGATATGAGAGATATGAAGTAGAGGACGGCGACGAGGCGAAGGGGAAGGGGAAAGGGGAAGGGAGGGAAAAAGTTGGTGGAGGTTTGTCAGTGGCGTGACATGTGAAAGCCTTCCGCCTCCGCCTGGGCGCTAAGGCAGCGAAAGACACCGTACGATCGTGGACTGATTCTGGGAAGGATGGCGCATTCCCTCCGACGCAGGGGGCCTTGGGTTATTATTAACGGATTCTTCTCGATTGGTTTGGCTCACGTTATGGCCTTCGCTAACTATACACTATTCAGACAAGCGCGCGCCCTCTCTCTCTCTATATACACTTACAACACCAACAAAACAACGGAGTGCTAGATTTAATGGTACAGGACAGGGAAACCAAAAGTATAATCAAAAAGGGGAAAGAATAAACAAACAAAAAAAAAGAAATCAGATAAAGCGGAATTTGAGAAAAGAAAGGACGTGCTCTCTCACTTATGCTCCCGTTCCTGAGTCAATCCTAAATACTGCGCTTCGGTGCATCGTGCCGCCGCGGCCTTGGGATTGGATTCAATCCGACCCAGCGCAGCCTCCAACTCGTACTCCTCGTCCCAGGCTTCGATTGTTTGTCGGATGTCACTCTCTTTGTATAGATTTCTCGGATCTAGCGATCGTTTCAACCGTCGACGATGCGCCCGTTTGAGCGTCGGGATCGATTTCACCTCCCAAACCGTAGGATCCCCCTCCGCTTTCTTGTCCAGTAGGTCAGCCAGGTGGCCCAGATATGCAAACTGTTCCTCCTTTTTAGACGCCTCTCTTGATGAAAAAGATTTGGATTCCATATTGCGCTCCAGGACGCCCAGGATCCGACGGACTTCGACCACGAAATCACGGTTGACGGCACCCCCACGAGCAAGACCCGTCAGAATGCACCATCGAATGCCGGGGATATTGTCCACCGCCGCAAACGCGCGTGCAAACATCTTCATGCAAACCCCGTCAAAGGGGGTAGAGCGTCGGTAGCGAGACGCATACACCGTGGCTAGTAGATCCAGAGCCCAGTCAGGCTTACCGGAGGCGATCAGGCGCTTGCTTGTGGCCGTGGTGATATGATGCTTGACGGTCATCTTTTTATTAGACCAGCAGAGTTCGTAAAACCGAAGGACAGCCAACTTGACGATCTCACCCTCGGAGGAGGGTTCAAGCTGCGTGATCTGACGGAAGAAGATCGGCATGAAGCGGACCAAATGTCGAATATTGCGCCATTCCGTCTCTATCAGCGCGCGGGCGGCACTAAGACCGTGTTCAAGGAGCGTAGCTACCACAGCCAACTCGACATGAAGTTGTTTCATCTGGAATTTGGCATTCTTAGCATTGTCGAAGCACTTCAAAGTGTCGGTCATCTTGCCAACGTGCAGGTAATGTGCCATTTGCTTGTGGAGCTTTTGATACTGATCGACGGGTCGCGAGGGGGTCACTGCCTGCAGCGTGCGTTGATACCAGGACATAGGTTCCTGGGTGTGAGGCATGCGGTTGACTTCCGCAATGGGAAATGAACGCTGGTCATAACCAAGGATCTGCTGTGACGTAGCGGCGTTTCCATATTTAACGCGAGCTGCTTGGAGCATTTGCCAGAAGCCCACCGGGGCCCCTTCGAGGGCCAGACGACGAGAACGCAGTATCTCCAAGAACTCTTGCTCTTTGATGGGAACCTTCCAGGAGCGCTCGCGAGCCATTGCGGTAAACTCGGCGATCATGCTCTTGTCGCCCTTTTCCACAAATGCCTCCAAGATGTGCTTGTACAACACTCGATCGGGAACGATATTGAACTTGTTGATGTAGCGGAAGACAAAATCGCGGATCTCATGTCCTCGGTGGGACACCCAGTACTCGAGGAAGATACGGTCGAATATAGGGGTGAAATCTCGCCGCCGCGACGTCAGCTTGAGATCATGCATCTCTTGGAGGCCCGCTTCCACTCCCTCCCAGTCGCATTTCAGAGCCTTGCCGTACAACAGAAGGCCTTTGGTGCGGCAGCGAAGTGGGAGTTCATAGGTCGTTGTCATGTCGCGCACCAAAGCTTCGGCATCCGCAAGTCTACCGAATTCAATGTATGCCTTGACCACCGGATTGAAAAGCTTGTCGCTGGGGGTCTTCCCCAGCCGCGGCAGCATTGACAATATCTTCTTCATTTGTCCGTTGAGCAGTTCGATACTTCTCGTCTTCTTCCAAAGCCCCGTCAGATAGGCGCCACACAGGCCACAATCTCGGTCCACCTGAAGGTTCCGCAGAAGGAACCACTTGGCGGTTGTAAGTCGATGGGATTCCAGTAGGCAGCGGAGTACAACGTCCACCATATCTGGCGAGACTTGGAATTTATGCATATAGCGGGTGTATATAGTAGCGACGGATTCGATGGAGCCTTTCTTTGCCAATGCAAACATTAAAACTTTCCACATGCTCGGAGAGATCTTATCCACCTCTTCCAGACGCTCGAAGATGCTCCTGGCAACAAACACATTCCCTTCCTTGCAATTGACGTAGAATGCCTGCATAGCGAGCTCCCGCCTGTCCGATGATATGCCCTTCAGTGACGCAGAATGTTCATCTAAAAAGACCTGCGCTGCGTCAATGGGCCGACCGTGGTCGAGGAGGTTTTGCATTCGTTCCGCGACAGAGTTCTTCTCGGGGAGTCCAGGGCTCTCTCCTGACTTATCCACACCGATGTCGGCTGCCGCAATGCCGAGTCGATTGATATTTCTCGTTCCTCGTAGATGTTCGCGTGGAATAGGGTCCGCCTTTCCATAGCGAGAACCGGGAGGCGAGGTCCGATTAGCCGCACCCATCAAGGACGAACGTGCAGTCCCCAAGAAAGACTCTGCCTGTGTCTGCTCCTCCGTGGGTTCTGACCCAACCTTTGCCGACAGCCCGTCACCAAGTGTTTCCGACGCAGTTTCATTATTATGGGAAGTAGCCATGCGTTGAAATTTGCGATACTCCTCCTCTTTGAAAGTATCCATTCCGTTGAACTCCCCTGCTTCGGCCGCCTCCATCATTCGGGAAAGCCTATTCGCCGCGGAAGTCGCATCGTAGTTGGGTGCGGAGGTTTGCAGGGCGCGTTTATTCTCGACAATTCGCTCGGCGACTCGAACTCTGCGATGGACATCGTAGGTAATGGCTGCGACAGTGCAGAAGCTACCGACAGTCGACCCGGCGAGGGCCAACCTGCGAAGGACACGCAGGGCATTTCGAGAGGGAACGGCCGGGGTGCCGCTTGTTGTTGATTTAGATATCATGGTAGTGAAACGTCTGCATCGCCGTTCGATGGAATGGAAGATGGCCTATAGATCATGAGATCGAAGAAAGGACATGAGCATTTCCAAGTTGGTCTCAGGAGCACAAGTCCTCAGGCCCAGCGGGAGCAATTGGAGCGGATCGTTGCAAAGAGGGAGGATTCGGGACGGGTTTTTTTCTTTGGCCGCCGGAAGGTTTGCAGGTCGGCACACTTGGTCGCTGTGCGGCGCCGGACTTGGCGTGGTCTGTTCCGGATGGAGCCACTACGGAGTCCTTCTAGTCTACGGTCCAGATCTAAGGAATGGGCTATAGTACTACTCGAACGCGGGATCATTGTCCTCTATGATTTATTTCAATTAAAAATTCTTTCGCAAGAATCGATCTGGTCATGGATGCAAGAGGCTCTCGTCCTCCTCTACGCCCTCTTCATTAGCCTCCCCATGACAGTCTCGAGCGTCTGTTTCGAGACCAACTGCTCAAACAGGATATGTAAGCCAGGAATCCAGATAAAGGAATGGAGGGAACACATACTGTTGGGTTTGAGGTAGAAGCTAGTGCATAGCGCGATGCCAAATATACCGACCAGACAAACGAAGACCGCCGGAGTATACTTGCCCACCGTGAGACTGTATATGAGGCTGAAGACGGTCGGGGCGATGACCCGAGAGAGTGCATGTAGGAGGCCTTTAGCTCCCAGGATCTGTCCAATCCGGTCTGGAGGCACATGGTGAGTGATGGATGATTGCAACGTCGGGATGCCCATCCCTCCAAGGGCCGTGAAGGCTCCGCAGAGGATCATGAACGATCCATTGTTTGCCAACGCGAACCCGCAATATCCGAGCATGTCTATAAACAGCGAAATGCGGATCAAATTGATCTCAAGCGGACTAGAGCCCGAAATAGTGCCCTCCGGTCTAGGTTTGCCGGGAAAGAGCCAACTGACGGCGGGGAAGACGGCAAACAGAGTGATGACCCGACAGGTGCTGAGGACGAAGATGAAAAAGCTGGACTCGACATTGCCCCAGTTGAACATGTAGCCGGCATAGATGATGAAAATTTGAGAGACCCCCAAGGTCACGCCAAATCCAACGGTGTCAATGCCCGCCAGGAGAACGATGTTTCTTCGTAAAGCCGGACTCGCGCCCCGACGATTAGGAAACAACGAGCTAGGCCGTCCAACAGGCGGGAATAAAATCAGTAGAGGGGTGAAGATATTCTTTGGGTTCCACCGCTGGAGAGAAAGCCAACCAAGAGCGCCTTTGTCAGCAAGTTTCATCCGATGCTTTTCTCGAGCGGATTGCTGTCGTTCCTTGGAAAGGGACTCGGGAATCACGAACAACACGGCCAATAAAAAAAGCACATGAAGTGCCAACATGAAGCAAAAAACAAAGAAGATACTTCCCGCCATTTTCAAGATGAAGGCCACAAGAAGCGGCCCGGTTGCGGTGCCGATGAAGATACAGCCGTGGATGTACCCGAATGACACGCTACGCTTCTGTGGTACCGTGCAATCGGATACGTAGGAGGAGGTAAGGGCATTCATGCTGGTGAAAGAGCCTCCGAGTCCGTCGAACAAGGCAAATAGGAACAGAACGTTAGTGGGGATGGTTTCCGTGCCGGCTGCGACGATGACGACAACCGATTCGGCCAGTATCATCCCCAGAGCAGTGATAGCCATAATGCGCGTTCGGCCATGACGATCTGAGATGTGGCCAAGATGAGGACTGACCAGTGCCGACAAGATGGCAGAAGTCAAATTGAGATACAGTTGGAATCGAGCAACTTGCGATTGAACCTCCGGCACCCGGCATTGGGGATCCTGACCCCCAAATATCACCGGCGTAAATGTGAAATTAGGGTCCTGAGCCGCTTTGTTGTTCAAATAATCTCTGCAGACCAGGGTAAGAGTCAAGTTGATCCTGGGGACAACTATGCCACCGAATGCAAGCATAAATAGGAGGAGGAACGGGAGTAGCCATAGGATCTAGCATAATTCAGAACATAATACTCCATTCGACCGGTGCAGCTTCATTACTTACGCTTGGTTGCCGCCATCGGCTCAGAAAGCCATCGCCACTGCTCCGGTAAATGAAACTGTCACGGCCTGATCTGGTAGGATCTGCTTGAGAAAGTAGAGGTGTTTGCTCGTGGGCGCGCGATTGCACCGCGTTTTTGGTTCTGTCGGCTGAAATGGCCTGGGGATCATGGCGAGAGAACGACCTGGCTCGCAATTCCGCATCGGCATCAACGCCCCCGGACAAAGGGGCCTGGGAATCCATGGTCGACGCTGCTGAGTCTGCTGGAACCGTTTATCATGACAATACTCGAAGTCTGTGTCGAAGTCGGCCAGCATTGGCAGGCTGTCTCCGATGAAAGACAGGACTGGGGCCTCGGCAGAAATGCAGGATGGAAGTAAGGGATAGAGTGTAGATCCAGTGGCTATTTAAAGTGCTAAGTTGGCTCAGTCCTTGTCGAAATTCGGATTTCGATTCCTGCGACGGATTGATTACCAAGATTTCCGGCGATAACTAGCTGGGATAAATCCCTGTAATCAGGAATAGAACGGATAATAATTTACTACCCGGCCATGACGTTGCAACGACGCTCGAAAGAGTAACAGCAGAGCTTAGTGTTTCCATGGGTACTTACTCGATCAAGTTCGATGTTGAACACAAAGCAGGTTCTATAGTCTAGTGGTTAGGACTTCCGGTTTTGACGACAATCCACCTCTTTGAGGGCTGGATCTTCGCGTCCGGACGGCCTGGGTTCGAACCCCAGTAGGACCTTTAATATTTCAAATTACATATTTGTAATATGTGATGGTGAAGATTTTTTGGTCATTCTAGGAGTAGTAAGTAGTATTGCTGCTTTATGTATGTAGTAGGAAGAGTGCCAGGTGTAGTAGGTAAATACGCTGCCAAAGATGAAGAAAGAAATTAATCAAAATAGCTTGATGAAGAAAGGTGATCGATCAACTAACTGACCAATCATCATGGAATCTTCCGCTTCGCATAGAGATCTTCGGAAGTTGCCTTTAGCGAAGGTTTGGCGGATTGCCTAAGGCATCTAGATAATTATTCATCTTCACAACATCCATGGATGCATTTTATAATCCGAGAAAATTGCTACCTATTGTACAGAGTTGGAGTTTTACAGACCACCGTGACCGATTCTAGATAATGACAGAAACCACAAACGCCAAACATAAACCCCGAGATTCCCTCTATATGTACACACAATCACAAGGAGAGAAAACAACTTTTATACGACCAGGGACGCAGTTTTGTCACCGGCAAAGAATTTCTTCTGTTCCAAGCATCGCTCGCTTCTGCACCCCTGGCACCGCAAAGTCATCTGTAACGAGCACTTCTCATCCTTTTGGAGGTGCTTCTGAGCCAGATCTGCAAGGGCCTCGATGAAAACCGGGTTCCCGTTCAAACTCTCGGCTCGTTTGACGCCGGGGTGGTTCGCCTCTTCCATCACCTCGAGGTCCAGCTCATACAGCGTCTCAATATGGTCGCTAGTGAAGGCAATCGGCACTAGGACAATGTCGGTCTGTCCACGCTTGACGTATTCCTGGACCGTATCGCTCGTCTGGGCTCCTAACCAAGCCTTGGGTCCCACCTGGGACTGCCAGCAGAGTCGGTAAGGGTTGCTAAAATTAAGTCGTTGCATTACTGCATGAACGGTTGCTGCAACCTCGGCCGGGTACGGATCGCCTGGTGGGCTGTTAGTTGTCAGGTCTCATTTCAGGAGAGTACTCCGGGCGTACCTCGGTTCACCACGCTCATGGGCAAGCTATGCGCAGAGAATAGCAAAACCACACCGTTCCGTTTCTCCTCGGGGTAAGTCTTGAGTTGGTCTTCAATGTTCCTTGCGAACGCTTCCACCAGACCGGGATGAGTTGGCCACCGATCGATGACACTCCACTGAATGGATCCCGCGGGGTCAGTGTTGCCATTTGCCCTGACACCCTCGAGGCGGTTTCTCCATTTCCACAGCTCGTTGAGCGAGCTTCCCGTTGTAGAGCACGAATACTGAGGATATTGCGAAAAGGCGACGGCGCGACCGCCCTTCCCGTTTCCGAATCCGTCCTCCAGTAGTCTGGTATACATTTGTTCCGTCAACGGTTGTGCGTAGCGAAATGCCACGTAAGGCTTGTGCGGCGCGGTTTCGGGGTTCAATTTATCCAGGATTTTGCACATCTCCTCGCATTGATACTCCGACCATTTTCTGATCGGCGAACCGCCTCCGATATCCGAGTATTGCTTGACGATCTTGGGGGTTCGCCGCCGAGCAATGAGGGGGCCAATGTAGGATTGTAGTCGTCCCAGAGGAATCAAATCGCCATCCGCCTACAAAACGATCAAGGAAGTTAGCATTGAGTAACCAGTAAATGTTGTGGGAGTTTGCTCATGAGACGTCGGCGGCGTACAAATAGCCTGCTAAGAAAGTCCTCCACCTCGTCCGTGGTCGACGGCCCTCCCATGTTCAGAAAAACCATGGCGGTCGGCCCCTTCGAGCCGGTTGAATCTTGCGTCACAGGAGGCACTGCCGTTGCCAGGCCAGCTCTCAGATCTTTGCTGTAACCAAACGGACTGCGAACCACCGGTCGCATTAACTGCCGGGGCAGAGTAAACTGTCGAAGCGCCATGTCTAGAATCGGAGATATCCGATCACTCTTATCAATATAGAAGTTGAAAGGGTCTTCAACGCGAGAGAAGTGGTGAGGATGGAGGGATGGACGGTGCCGGGAGACTCCCGGAGTCCAGCTGGAACGATGACCGATCGCCAATCAGGACCGACCGAGCGTCATCAAGCCTTGGCGTCGTCACATGATGTTCGTGTTCCCCGCGCGTCGGTCGGCCTGGGTGCCTCGCGTCCCAGGCAGCCCCAGGCAGCACCGCCGCCCGCAGCAGGCACCAAGTCCACCATGCTTGCTACCTTCTACTTCCTCCCCATTTAATTCATGTCACATCAATCCAATCCCGCCGCTCACAGTTCACCTTCTTCAAGCTCGCGAACTCACCATGGCGGACGATAACCCTTCTCGAGAAGACGAACAGGTGGAGGATGAAGAGGAGATTGATGAGACCGTACGTCATCGCGAAATTCACTGATAGAGTCAAAAGCCTCACACCTTCTTAGGGCTACAAATCGGTCAAAGATGCCGTGCTCTTTGCCATCGAAGTGAGCGATTCGATGCTCGCCCCTCGTCCATCCCCAGATCTCAAAAAATTCAAGGAGGAATCACCTACGACCGCAGCGCTGAAATGCGCCTATCACCTGATGCAACAACGGATCATTTCGAACCCGCACGACATGATGGGAGTCTTACTCTATGGGACGCAGGCGTCCAAGTTCTACGACGAAGACGAGAATAGTCGCGGCGATCTCTCTTATCCGCATTGCTACCTTTTCACGGATCTGGATATTCCTTCGGCACGGGAGGTGAAGGAGCTTCGAGCGCTCGCAGAGGATGAAGGAAAGACTCGAGAGATATTGGTCCCTGGGGAGGAGCGCGTTTCCATGGCCAACGTGCTCTTCTGCGCCAACCAAATTTTCACGTCAAAGGCTCCCAACTTTCTTTCCCGACGACTATTCATAGTGACTGATAACGATAACCCCCACGACGACAACAAAAGTCTTCGCTCTGCTGCCGCTGTGCGAGCCAAAGACTTGTACGACCTTGGCGTCACCATCGAGCTATTCCCGATATCCCAGCCGGACCATGGGTTTGATGGCTCCAAGTTCTATGATGTAAGTCGAACCTATCCTCCCACTCATCTATGAGAACCAAACTCACATTTCGGGTAGGACATCATTTACAAGTCCTCTCCGAATGATCCAGAGGCGCCTACCTATCTACAGACCGACTCCAAAACCCTTCCAGCCAACAGTGACGGGATAGCATTACTCAACACTCTGCTTTCCAGTATCAACTCGCGATCCGTCCCGCGCCGGGCCCACTTCTCGAACATGCCGCTGGAGATAGGGCCAGACTTCAAGATTTCAGTGTCGGGCTACCTTCTCTTCCGACGTCAGGAGTCAGCCCGGAATTCCTATGTCTGGCTAGGGGGTGAAAAGCCTCAAATTGTAAAAGGGGCCACGACCCAGATCGCAGAAGATACGGCTCGGACAATCGAAAAATGGGAAATCAAAAAGGCTTACAAGTTTGGCGGTGACCAAGTATCGTTTACGCCCGACGAGCAGAAAGCTTTGAGAGACTTTGGGGAGCCAGTGATTCGAATTGTTGGATTCAAGCCTCTTTCGGCGCTCCCATTCTGGGCCAACGTCAAGCATCCATATTTCATCTACCCATCGGAGGAGGACTTTGTGGGCTCGACGAGGGTGTTTTCAGCCTTACACCAGAGCCTCTTGCGAAACAAAAAGATGGCTCTTGTTTGGTTCATTCCACGCAAGAACGCTGGGCCCGTTTTGGGTGCCATGTTGGCGGGAGAGGAAAAACTGGACGAGACCGGGGTGCAGAAGTTTCCTCCTGGGATGTGGATTGTTCCCCTGCCATTTGCCGACGACGTTCGACAGAATCCCGAGACCAGTCTTAACGTGGCACCGGAGCCACTGATTGACCAAATGCGAATGGTCGTCCAGCAACTTCAACTCCCAAAGGCATCTTACGAGCCTCTAAAATACCCCAATCCCTGTAGGTCTTCCTTCTTGATTGATTATCAAGGACTATACTTACTCATCTTGCAGCGCTTCAATGGCACTACCGCATCCTGCAAGCACTTGCTTTGGATGAGGATCTCCCCGAAAAGCCAGAAGATAAGACGATACCCAAATATCGCCAGATCGACAAGGTAAGAAGCCACTTGATATCATCATGATTCGAGAAGAAGTCTAACTTCCCTTTTTCTAGCGAGCCGGTGACTATGTGCTGTCCTGGGCCGATGAACTCGAGAAGCAGTATGCACTAATAGCATCATCCGGTCCCAAGAGCACTCTTGTAAAACGGAGCGCCAAAGATCGTGCTGCTGATTCTGCGGATGGAGGTGGACATGCATCCAAGAAGGTGAAGACTGAAAATTCATCGGAAGGGATTGAAAGTGACGTGCGTCTCCATTATCAGAAGGGGACTCTCTCCAAGGTAATCTCTGTTTCATCAGATAAATTCGAATTGATTCGCTAACATACAGCTATGTACAGCTTACGGTGGCCATCCTCAAAGACTTTCTCACTTCTCATGGTCGCTCGGCTGCCGGGAAGAAGGCAGACCTTGTTGATCGGGTGGAGGAGTACCTGGAGCAAAAGTGACAGATCAAGGGATAAAGATTGATGCTTTGGACGTAACGAGGTAGATGAACTTTACTTTTTATCTAATGAAAGTCTGTATGATATCCAGAGGTCGTTCAGCGAAGCTTTACGGCATTTTCTTTTGGTCAAGCAACGCCTCAGTTGAGATTCATTTGGGAAATCAAATGAGCCACCTTTGAATTACTATTCAATCACTATTCAACCAGAACTCCTTAGACCAATGCCAAATGGAGACAGAAAATGAAATAAAGAAAAGGCGAGGGTGACCATTTATTCAAGAAACCCACGTCTCACTTGATGCGATTGCAAGCTTCCACCGTCTGGTCTCTTCTCACTTCTTCGACCGCCTCTGGGATAGTCCCTAAGCCCCCTCCGCCAACCTCATTGACAGCCACAGTTTCTGTCTGCTCCTTATGCTTAATTCCCTCCGCAACTGTGGCTACAATCTTAGGTGTCTCCTCGTCCGGACGAGGCGCAACCACAGGCTCGCCTCCCAATTCATAGACGTCCTCTCGTACAGGTCTAGGCGGATTTGCAGTCACTCGACTGTCAATCTCACTGATGGTATTTCCGTACTTTTCGGGAACTGTGGCGAACTCTAGGGGTATCAATCTCTCTGAATGCAGGTCATCCTTCGCAGCGTCTAGTTTTTGTCCGTGCTTGAAACAACATCGGATTCCGAGCCAGAGCACCCCGCAGAGCAAGGCAGCGCCAATGGCGATTCCTACTATTGACCCCGTCGAGAGATTGAGTGACACCGGTGTCGTCCCTGACGGCGATGGTGTGGTGGAAGCGGAGGTGGAGTTGAGGTCGGAATCGATGGATGTCGAGGAAGAGGACGACGTGATAAATGTCGTAGGGATGAGGCTGTTTGCCGTTGTGGGCGGAGAATCTGTGGTAGAGAGGGTGCTGGGGACGTCCGTAAGCTCTGTCAGAGTTAGGATCTTGCGGGTGGGCGAGGCGCTGGTGATTTTGGGCGGAGCGCGCGTTCGTGTAGGTTCTTTGCTCGTTGGGTCATCCGTTGGTGGAGACTTGAGGTCCCTACGATGGAGTTCACCTTCGTCTGGATTCATCCCTGAAGTATCGATGAGCTGACACAAGTTGGCGAGCAACTGTGGAGGGTCTAAATGACAGGCAGACGAGTTGAATTCGTGCCTCTCACATCGCTCATTCTGAATATCAAAGCACTGATGAATGAATGATTTGGCATCCAGATCCTCCAACTCAGCGCAGAGACGGTCGTACTCCCACCCCTCCAAGTCAAGGCAGTTCAACTGGTCATAACTATTAGCATGTGGAGGCGTGGATGGACGATGGGCAACATACCATACAAGGAACGATTCCTGTCAATACTTGCTCTGATATGATTGAGCGTGCATCATGCAGTACGCGGCTCTTGGTGGGATCAATCGCACGCACTGAGAACATATCCTTCATGAAGGCCTTGAAGGCCTTCATGCAGTTTTCACAGAACCAAGTAGTAGTCGCCATGACGATTGATTTCATTGAAGACTGGGACAGGAATGGATGGGGTACTAACCAGTACTATGCTGTGAGGGCAAGTATCCTCTATAAAAAGCCAAGGCGGTCACCTGACGGTATTCTCCTGCATTTAGAAGCCAGGTCTGGCCAGTTATAGGCCCAGAGAATTTCTTAAGACTCCCAGTAGTTTCCCGGTTGGAATCGTGGGACCTTGTACCTCACTGGTCTGTTTAGGGGGTCGTCCTCTGGCATTGTACGGAACTTGTCTGTTATTTTTTATAAATAAAGAAACAGCGGGTAAACAACAACAGGTAAAAATAGCTCTACTCGATGGCTGAGTACTTGTGACAACAGTGAATGGGCATGAATATAGCTCCATAGTCCATACAGTCCTTAACCCTATAGATGTGGGGCGAGCGGACTTATCAGCTGATCTTACGCGGCTCCGGTCACTGCATATTCCAGATTCCTTTAGTACAGCATGGCGTACACACTGGTTCTCTCCATTAGTGTTTCCCTTGAGATTTGAGCTAAGGTGATGTGGGTACTCAAGGTCACGCATTAGCCAGCTCCTCCCCTTCCGTTAGGGATATCTGGCATCTACACCTTCCATGGCCATTTCAGTGGGCTCGAAGCCAGAAACATCGGATTCTTGAATCGCCTCGCATTTTCTACCCTGCACTTTGATCCCTTTCGGCTCTGCGGTGGATATCCTTGGCTATCGGCGCGCGTGTCTTGTAGGTGGATTCCTCCAAGCAGCGAGTGTCTTGGGCGCCGGGCTCGCTACGAACTCGTTACAGCTGATTGCACTTTGTGCCATGGCCGGCCTGGCGGCATCTTTTTGCCTACCTGGCGCCTTTGGCGTTGCTGGTCTTCCTACCAGCAGCGATCCTAAATGGCGCAGTGATTGCCCTCGGCCTTTGGGCCCTTCCTCGTGACATTGATGCACCCTTGAACCGGCCGTCTTTCGTCTCTCTCGGCCGAGATATCGACTGGGTTGGGGCCCTGATTATCAGCATGTCCCTGGCGCTGCTTTCATTGGTACTAGCTGTAGCCTCAGGCTTGGATGCTACAACGAAACTGCGACAACCCCTCTATATTGTGATTTTAAGTATTGAGGCGGCTTTACTCCCTGCGTTTGTCCTGTGGATGCGGCATCAAACTCGTCGGGGTCACCCAGCTCTGATCCCTAACACCATGTGGTCTAACCTCCCATTCACCAGTATTTGTCTTACAGTGTTCCTTGTTTGGGGCACCCTGAATGCTAGCGAGCAACTAGCAACCTTATACTTCCAAGATATCCGTGGTCTCTCGACTCTGACTGCCGCTTTCTATTTTCGACCCTCCTTTATTGTCCCTGCCGGATGTACGATTAGTGGACTCGCACCATTGCTTCTAGCCATTCTCTGTCGTGTGGAAGGCCCGGGGTATTGGCAGGGCATCTTTCAAGCCATGGCCTTGAACCCGATCGGCGCAGATCTGATCTATACTATCGCAGACCTAGTGACCACCGCTGCCTTCCCGAACAACATGCAGGCCCTCGCAGGGGATGTATTTAACACGCTGGCGCAGATCGGGAAGAGCGTCCGTATTGCCACCTCGGCGGTTCTTGTGCAGCGGGTCGCAGACAGGGCAGGTGATGGCGACGATGCAATGGCCAGCCATGCGTTGTTGCTTGCTTATCGGGCCGGTTGGTGGTACAATTGTGCGCTGGGATTTACTTCGATAGGTGTCAGTTTCTTTAGGTTGAGGAAGATCAGCAGATTGGAGGATAAGAGAGATTAGTTTCCTCATTGAACCGAACTCGACCTTTCGTGTGTCAGGAACATACAATAACTCGTATAGGAGATACTCACTGAGTATCTCGCATTTTCTTTAAAGTACACACGACTAGAAGGTCTCGGAATGCTGAACCGCTTGAACCACTATTTTACTGCTAAGAGATACAGTATTTGAATTAGAATCACCACTGCTTCATGATGGACTGTCTTCATCTAATGTCAAAGGGGCAACTCCGGGGCCCCAGCCTAGACTTGAGTAGATCTGATCCTGTAGAGTGAGCCACCAGAGTATCAAAGATAAGAGAGACAACACAGTTGGTTAAACTACTTCTTGGCCATAGGCAGGCCAACAAAGCCACATCCAATTGTCTGAATGGTTTGAAAACAGGCAACCAAAGCTCAGCAGGTCGATCCAAAAGCAGAACTTGAGAAGGCGAATAGTAAACGACCACCCCGTACTATCCTGCAGACCTACACTCCAGACTAGCACGGGTCGCCTATGTTAGGTGGGCACACTGGCTTTTGAGTTTTGAGCGCGGGAAAAGGAACCATCCTGCAGAGGTGAGCACGGGGGGCGGTGCGCGTCCTGATTCCCTAACGGTGACACTTAGATAGGAGTCGGTCGGGGCCCGCTTTTTAGAGTATGCTTGGGTGACAGGGGCGAAGGGCCAAGGTTCAACTCCAATCCTCAACGCCCCATTTTTGGCGACTCCCTCAATTTGAGGTGCTCGAGGGGGGCATGAAACTGGGTCAATTTTCCCTCGCGATGGACATGCATGGGTATTACTTGGAGAGAAAGGAACGAAGCACAAGGAGAAAGAAAACTGACACAAGGGTATATTGTAGAGAAAGAAATGGAAAGAAGAAAAGGAATAATGAGACAAAATACGTCCCCGAAGAGCCAGGTCCGAGTTCGTGAAATCTTTCGGCAACGCTGTTCTAGCGAGAAGGCCGTTCATAGTATGTAGGAAAGGGTTGGCATATGTGCAAAGGTCGTGGTAATATATACAATGGCACAAAGGCCCGTCGTCAAATGTTTCGAAAGCACTCAACATCTTCCATAGACCTGACAGTGACAGACTTGTTCATCTGGACAACTATTGGCCAATTGTCAGTTGCTTGAGTTCGTCTAAACGCCGCTAGTGAAACGGAGAGGAAACCCACTATACAGATTCTTTGCCGAAGATGACGTGCCACAGAAATTCCATAATTCGCCCGCTGCTGGCATCGTCTCGGTCCGTGTCTATAATCCATTGTCGGAACTTGACATAGTCCTCTCGTGGTCGTTGAAGCACCTGCTCTCGCGACACGGCGAACTGCGCACAACAGGCGGCCCCGATTTCCTTGGGCTTGGGCAGGTACCTTTGGCTTCGCGCCGCATCCATCGCTCCGTTCTCGGCCAGGCCTGCCGATATCGTGGCGTTTAAGGGCGGCGTGCTTGTGCCTTCGAATACTTCTTGCCACACGGTGTCGGTGACATGCCGGTTGATGCGATGCGCTGCCTTGCATCCAGGATTCCAATTGCACCGGAGGTTGACGTATCCGTTTTGCCGGACGAAGTCGAGCTGCAACGATCGCATGGCCACTACATTGTCATGTAAAGGCGCATCTACGTGCCAGGCCATGAAAAATCCTCCGCGGTGGGCATGAAGGAATGCAATGATCGAAGGGAGACGGTCGTAATAATCGATCAAGTAGCTGAGATAGGCCATGGCCTCATGGCCTTTATTTAGGGGCGTCTTGAGCTTGTGCTCATTGGCGGCGGTTGCACGCGACGGGTTGACAACGTAAATCGCGCGTTTCCAGCTAGCGACAAAATCCGATTAGTGTCGTGACATGCTTGGGAGGGGGACAGCGTCTAGGCAACCACATACTCTGGAAGTTCTGCCTCCACCCACTCCGTCGGCTCCTCTTCCAACTTCGCCATTACGATGACCTTGTCACTCGACGGAACATGTTCAGGCGGCACGTCTTCGTATTCGGGGGAGTTGATGTGAAGCCAATTGACCAGGTATGCGCCGGCGCGATACTGGTCACATAGATCCTGCAGATGGGCCTTGATAAGATACAAGGGCACCAAGAGCACTAGCAAGATGCAGAGGGCAAGGCGAAACCCCCATCTCATTATGAATGAGGAAGATACACGGAGAATGAGACCACCCAGGCCTCACGAAAAAGATATCCAGTCAAGAGATCGCGTGGTGTATAGACAAGCCGGTTGATTTTCACAGCGATGGAAGGTGGGGATTGAAAGGTTTGAGAGAAGAGAAACGACCAAAGGAAAACCGGATTGAGGAGATGACAATGACAATGATCGCAATGAGACAGCAATAAATACAACGAAAAATCAGACGAAGAGATGGGGGAAGCAGATCGAGATCAACTTAAGCGTAGATTAAGGAGGGAAAAGGAGGGTCAAATATACTCTTTGAGGAAGCCGATCATGGCAGGTGGCCGTAGATAGAATCATGGACGAAAAGCGAAACATAGGCCCGAGCGGTGGGAAAGAGTCCGCACGTCAGACAGAGCAAGATTGTCGAGGGCGAAGCATGGCTGTACAGTCAATCCCACGGGCGACCCAGAAAGGGTCGCAACATCTTGCCCATCATTGGACTGTGGCCGGAATCGAGCCAACAGCGGTCCCTCCCCCAAAAGTGCGAGGGCCCACTCGGTGCGTGGCCAGGGACGCGTTAGGCGGCTTAGGCCCGGGTTAAGCTTGAAGGACCCGGTTCTTGTGGCCCGGATAAGACCCGTCATAGGCTCGACAGGGTCTGTGGATGATGCCGTGCAGCGTGAACTTTAAGGGGTGCTGCCCGTAGATTTAGGGTCCCTAGCGGGGAAGCTTGGCGGCCCCGACCGGATTTTAGTGTATCCTCGGTGTCCCCCGCTAGCAGCGCTAGCTCTGGCCGTTTTTTGGTGAAGGGATTTATCAGTTATCTCCAGAGCAGGTTGCCAGCTACGGAGTCTTGTCTACGGAGTACTCCGTAAGCTAGAAAAGGCCAACGAGATATTCCTTTTTTTTTAAAAAAAAAAAAAATGACAGAGATCGCCGGGAATCCAAGAAGGATTGTCAAAAAAAGAAAAAGGAAGGATGGAAGCAGGGATGAACCACGGGCTGCACGTGGCGCCTCGATTTGCCGCACCGAATTAGGAGGGTTAAGCGAACGGCATGACGTCGCTCCAGATTGGCAGATACTCCAGGTCTCCAGAGTGCCAGGGAATAATGGTTCAACGGTTCAACCACCGAGACGAGGAGCCGGTTGGGGTTTTCGAAAAGGGTTTTGTAGCGGGGTTTTTTTTTTTTTTTTTTTTTTTTTTTGTTTTTTTTTTTTTGTTTTTTTTTTTTTTTTTTTTTTTTTTTTTTTTTTTTTTTTTTTTTTTTTTTTTTTTTTTTTTT